TATATATATATATATATATAGTATCCGTAATTACTTAGGCCGAAAAAATATGCACACAGGACACGTTTTTCAGGTCCCCGCAGTCCAAAAAGGCTGTTTTGCAGGCACTCGCAGCTCTCCTCCTTCAAGTAAGACGCACGTGCAACAGTTGCTGGTTCTGCAAGGACCATTGCTAAACCCTAAACCCTGAACCCTGAACCCTGAACCCTGAACCCTGAACCCTAAACCCTAAACCCTAAACCCTAAACCGCGGCAGAAGCACTTGCAAATCATGGTGCCCGGGGCGGGGAAGACATCTGGGTACAGCGAAAATGAACCCCATGGACGGTGCACGCACCGCCACCGCCTTTCAAAAGCCTGTGGCGGCGGTCGACTGAACAATTCTTCGAGACGCTCAATAATGCCACAGGTCGTCTTGGAAAGAAGTTCTTCCATCTGCTGGCCTGTTGATGCCTCCAAACCCCAACCCAAACAAGCCCAAGCCCTAACCCCCTAAACCCTAAACCCTAAACCCAAAAGCAAGCAAGGCCTAAACACAGAATCCCCTAAATCCCTGCGCTTGATAGCCTGCTCTTTCAAGGGTTTATGTATGGTAGCCATAATAAGGTTTGGGTTTAGCGTGGGTTTAGGGGTTTAGGGTTATAAAGCACGAAGCTAACAAAGTAAGATCTATAAAACCTAAACCCTAAACCCCTCGAAAGGTCAAGGGCTCAGCGACTGGAGGGTCCAAGGCATTCCGGGCTTCGGGGCCTAGATCCAGGGTTTAGAGTTTAGGGTTTAGGGCTTATAGGGTTTAGGGTTTATCGGGTTTCGGGCATATATAGGGTTTAGGCTTTATAGGGTTTAATAGGGTTTAGGGCTTAGAAAGTGAGGGTTGGGGGTTTGAGGGTTTAACGGTTTCGGTAAAAGGGTTCAAAGACATGGTTAAAGGTGTGCTACGACTTGCGATTGCCACAAGCCCCCACCCCAACCCAGGTAGGTATGTTGAACACTCCTAAGCCCGAAAGTGAAGCCCTAAAGCCCTAAACCAAAACACTAAACCCTGAAGGCAATCCAGATTCAGCTCAGGCTTGGATGGGTTTCATCCTGACGAGTAGCGCTGCTGAGGATCATGATGCCATTTCTCTGCCTGGACACTCAGAGTTAAAATTTCGAGCGAACACTAAGCCGAACTACAGGGACCTTACTGCAATGACTTGGGTCTATCACAGTGCAGCTGTATTCAGGAACCGTGGGGAGTGGCAGGATTTACGGCTTCAGGGCTTTGGGGCCTTGGGCATTAAGACGCTTCGGGATTGGGGAGTTATGTCTCAAAGTTGACGATTCCTTCATGAAGGCCTTTAGGTGAAGCCTTTTTAACCCTCAGCCCTAAACCGGGAAACCTAAACCCGACACCTCTTCACGACCCGCAACTAAACCCTACACCCGAATCAACGTACGTAGCAAATAAGGTTTGGGGTTTGGGTTCAGTGCGGAGCTTTAGGTGTATCCGGCACATGTTACAATTTAGGGACCACTGGCTCCCGAGCTCTGTCAAGAAAGCCAGTAATACTATGAGGGAAGAACAGACAGAGAGAGAGAGAGAGGGAGACAGAGGAAGAGAAAGCAGCACTTGACGGCATTAATGGCCACCGGCAGTCGGCAGAGATGACAAAATGTTGTTGAAACTTAATTAGTTGTTTGGGTGCTTGCAGCTTTTATCCGTACACCCAGAGCAAAAGCCATGATCCCAGACTGTTACGAGGCGTGGGCCCAGACATGCAAACCTTGTAGATGCCAACCAAGCCACGGTATTTGTCTCGAAGTCGACGCCGGCAAGGTTGGCTACACGACCTCGCCATGCATGTCACAGAATTATAAGGCTTTGAGACAAATGGGCCCTACCTGTAGTCTCCCTTGCAGTTTCTCTTGTTTTTGAGTTTAACCAATGAACTAGGATCCCATAAGGTAACCCCCAAAAGGAACTACTATGGGGACTATAGGTAGTTTAGGGCAGGCTCCGAAGCCAGCCGCATTGGAAAGTGTTGAGCTTTGTGCTGCCGTTAAGAAAGCACCGACTTGCGAAACAGAAGCCTGCGTCTGAAAAATGTAACTAATTTAGTATTGGATTAGGGTTTAGGGTCTATACCTACGCCCCCAGAAGTAGGTAACAGAATGGCCCAAAACCTCGGAAAGGCTATTATTCTACATACTCTTGGGGTCCAGGTACAGGGTTTAGGGTTTTTTTGTGGCTTAATGTAAACGTGTAGTTAGACAGGAACCCGAAGCGGCCTAAAACCCCCCACAAGCTCGAAGGGTCCAACGGTTCGGGCCCAAGTTCCGAAAATGGTTTAGTATATTCAGTATATGGGTAGTTTTCGAAAATAGGGTCCCTTTTGGGGGTCCTTTTTAGAAGGGTGCCGTACTATATTGGGGACCTAAAAAGGGACCCTAATTTAAAACTACCCCTTTGATGGGTTAAGGGTTTAGGGTTTAGAAACTTTCACCAGACAGCATTTTGAATTGAAAGCCTTTGACAGCAGGGCCGGAATACAGTAGTTCGAAAGGAGTTTAGTGTAAACTATACTGCAGTAGGGGCTAAGTACGCAGACCCCTAATACTGAACCCTAGACCCTGCCTACTATAGGGGCCTTGATTAAGAATAGGCTTTTGGGGTCCCTTATACTATAATCATAATCAGGCCCCCCAGACTAGTGTTGGTAATTATTTAGGTCCCTATATTACATAAATCCCTGTACCCTGAGCCCTGCCTTCAAGTCCTGTCAGCTACCCGGATCAGTGGGAACAAGGGGCTCTAGCTTGTCAGGTTGGAGTAGGGCTTGGCTTTATTTGGGGGAGGAGGGGGGGGAAGGGGGGCTGGGGCCTAGAAGAAGTGGACATAAATCCATAAGTCCCGGCCACAGACCTATGCAGCCTCAACAACACTTGCGGCGAAGGCTCACGCCTGAAACCCTATAGCACCCTCATTGAATCCCTGAATCAACCCTAAACCCTAAACCCTAAACCCTAAACCCTAAACCCTAAACCCTAAACCCTGAACCCTAAACCCTAAACCCTAAACCCAAAACCCTAAACGACTGAAGGAACCCTCGGAGAAAACCTAGGCTTCCCGTTTGGCCCATCGTTGCCCTAAGTCGAGAACCCGCACCACCCTACTGTCCGGGGCCTTGATAACTCAACTAGGGCTTCGTGGTATATAATCTATGCATGTATATAGTATATCATATGGAAACCTAAGGAATAAGTGAGGCTTCTGTATTACATAAACTCAAACATGGCACCAAGCTGGATGCTCAACCAAACGGCGAGCCATCTGGGGCCAACAGTGGCAGCGCCTGTGACGAGACGTCGCTCTCAGCAACTGTGAGGTCTTACTTAGGGTTGTCGCATTCTGGGGCTTCGCATTCATCCACCAATCATAACCCACCCCACCTCAGAGGAGGCTCCTTGAAACTGTCAGGGGTCTATATGAGGGTTCCTTCTCAGGGTTCCAATACGGGTCAATTTAAAAGGAACCCATAAAGGCTCTGACAAAGGAACCCATACAGGAGCCCTTTCAAGGGGATCGGCTCTGTTGGGCCTTTGCTCGTTGCCCACTTCAGTGCCGCGGAGCGAACAGCGATCAGAGCCCCGGCAGTCGCTGTGCCCAGGGCCCTCAGGGCTTCTGGGCTCCAGGGCCCTCAGGGCTTCTGGGCTTTAGGCTGTCGGGATTGGGCCCTCAAGGGCTTTAGCTTACCCAAAACCCTAATTAAACCCCCGAATGATTTTAAATAGGATTCTTTCCAAGGGGTTCCTCTAGAGGGATCTCTGCGGGTTACTGATATAGGGCCTTAAGAAATCTGTAACAATAGGGTTCCTTTACTATGTAAGGGAGGATCCCTTTGCAGGGATTTATGAAATTTACAAGAGGGGATTAGCAAAGCGACAGCGATCAATGAATAGTGTCTTTGGGTTCATTTGATGTAATGAAATAAGGAATCCGAAGGCATAGTATCAGCAATACTTCAGGCTCCAATACTGTGGGACTTGTCTGCATTGGGGAGTCTAGGGTTCGGTTTTTTACTGTGGCATTTGGGGCTACCAGACTGAAAGATAGATCCGGGTCAACCCGAAGCCTATGACGACGACCTACATCGCTTCGTCCGCCGCGATAGACAGCGGAGAGTACTAGTACTAGGGTTTAGGGCTTCGGGGTTCTCAAAGTTTGGTTGTAGCCGTTGTAGCCTGAGAAGAACGATCACATCAGTCTGCCCGACATCGTTCGTGCGGACTGCTTTGAAGCGGGAATCTGTTCTCTAGCAGCCCTAAACCCTAAACCACTCAGCTTGGATCACACCCCAAGAGCCTCAAAGAGCCCAACCCACGCACGCGGATTAACAGCCCTAAGTGAAACTCAATCCCCTGGTCCTAACCCCCATTTAAAACAAGCAAAGCATGAACCTTCAAACCTACGTGGCTATAGCCACTCTCAGCACACCCACCAGTAAGTGCCCTGCAGACTGCGCAGCTGCATTTCTGGCATGGTACCGGCTGCAGCCAAAGCGTCAAATGCTTAGATTTCTGCATGCACACTCCGAATACGGATGCCTCAAGGGGGTGTGCGTCATGTTCCTTGTTGAAACTCGAATTTAACTGGAAGTTGAGAAATGTGAGAAAAGGTTCTCTCTCGAATTTTCTCACAACCTCTTGCCCGGTCTTATTCTTAGGCTCAAGCTATATAGCCCGAAAGCCTCACAGAAGCCGAATGCCTTAAAGGATGGGTCATTAAGGTCTTAGGTCTTGGTATGCCGATATACCATTCCTTAAGCTTCCTACTATATTGATAGTATCATGTACCCCAAATCCAAAACCCCATGCTTCTGTTGCAGGCCCCTACACTACCGCATGCATGCACATCCTGCGCTCAAACAACATTGGCTTCGGCGGAAGTTCGGAAAGGCCTCAGCCCTAAACCAGCTTAAACCCTAAACATAAGCCCTCAACCCTAAACCTTGCTTTAAGCCCTAAGCCCTAAACCCTAAATCCTGAACCCTAAACCCTAAACCCTAAACCCTGAACCCTAAACCCTAAACCCTAAACCCACAAAAGGGTGGAGGGCTTCGGGCTCGAGGTGACGAGTTTAGGGTCGGCTTTTTCGCTCCTCTGCCCACACGGCCCAAGACCCTCAATTTCGGAATCCCTAGGTTTAGGGTTGCGGGTTTGGGGGCTAGGGTTTAGGGGTTCAGGGCTTGGGGTTTAGGGTTTAGGGTTTAGGGTTTAGGGTTTAGGGATTATAGGTTTAGGGTTTAGGGATTGAATTTAGGGTTTAGGGTTTAGGCTTGAGGGTTTAGGGAGTAGATTCCAAAGCCCAGATTGGCCTGAAAGCGCGATAGGTGGTGTAGTGTCGTTTTGGGTTTAGGGTTTACGGGTCATAGCTGGTAAATGCAGCACTGTCTGGACAATGTCGGCAATATAGGTGCTGCTCACAGATGTCTGAAAAAAAGGTTCTAGCAGAGTTACCGGTTTTCTCTTTCGGCGCTGCTTGAACTCGAAACCCTGTGGTCCGAATCATGCAATAAACTCCCCATCAAAGCAGCAAGCCTTTCATTATTAGCATCCCGAAAATCAATTTAATTGACAGCCAAGATCAACCACTCAATCAATTCCCAGCGATCGTTATAAGAACGCGGGCTAAATCAAACAATCCCTAAACTTTAAACCCTAAACCTTCTCAATCCTAACCCTCCTGTACGAGCATCCCTCCTTCATCGTATACGAACCTTCGGATTCATGTCGGTTTCTGACTAAGAGCTTTCAACTTCACCCGGGATGTGTCGGGTTTAGGGGGTAGTGTAGGGGCCTAAACAATTGCCCGTACTGGCCCCCCGGGGCTCCTGCTGCAATGGAAAGTAGAGTGTAACAGTTAGCACGTGGTTTGAGGGGGGGTATATAGCTAGAACAAATGTATGCTGGGAGGGAGTATAAGGGGATATTTTGGTACTATTGTAATCCATGCTATTACTAATTCGTTATTCCGACCCCTTGTGAACCCATTGAGCTCAGTGGCAGTAACTTTGACAGTTTGGGGTTTGGGGAATTCAGCTCTCTGGAAACAATGGATCGTCTCATCTCTACCTTTCGAGCTCCGGCATGAACACCACCTATAGCCTCCACTAGAGTTCCTTTTGGGGGTTACCTTTTTAGGATCCGAATTATAGAATTGGGAACGTCAGTGGAGACGCCCCAGTACTTCGGGTGTAGAGGAGTCACAGGATGAGTGCTGGGAGCCACGCCCCTCTTGCACCACAGCCAGGACTGTGTAGAAATGGTACATCGTGAGCATGCCCTGCAGTTTCGGGTCAAGGGCTTTGTATTCGGGATTCAATGCCACGGTTTTCGGGGACGTACTTGGTGATACACCTGCGAAAAGAAGAGGTGATTAGAGCCAGAAGTATGCATGTCCCCGGGGCTCTAAGTACCCGAAGCAGTATGAGGGTTTAAGGTCTCACGTACTGCAGTCTGAGGGTTTTTCCGTGCATAAACGGTCAACTGTTTGGGTACCTATACTTGGGGTGCTAGTCTGCAATCTTTAAGGTCTGCGGTTTAAGCGCTTCGGGTTTGAGGTCACAAATCCTAACCGGAAGGCAGGCAAATGCCAGAAAGCAGGTTTGGGGTTAAAGGTTGATAGCTTGGAATTTGGAACCTATTCTAGGATTTGGGGTTTAGGGGGTTTGGGCTTGGCATTCTCCATAAACACCCCTCAGCGGCAGGTCCCGGAGGATTCAGGGGTCATGCAAGACTGAACGAACTTAACTTCAAAGCTAGCCGGAGATTACGGCTTGGGGCCCATGGATGGACAGAGTGCTCAAGAGCCTGTTTCATATGGGTGCATGTCTCGGGTTTAGTGTATTGCGGTTGGGGTACGGTACATTTTAGTTGAGGGTGCTTTACAATAAGGTATGGTTGTATGGGAACTGCAACGGGTACTGGCATAGATTATTCGAGCCTTTTAAACTATTGCAGGACCCCGATCCCAAAAGCTCTACGCCCTAAACCTTACCTCCTTAGCGCTCATCCCTCCACCCTAGGACAAACTTTAGACATCCAGTGCAGAGCCCTTCTACGTATATGTATAGAATATGTGTATATATATATATACAACATTTAGGCCCTCACCCCTAAACCCGTCGGTCCACAGTTGTTTCACTTATCCTAATGCCTCATCCTGAAAGAAATCTCTGAGCCCTTTCCTCTTGAAACCCATAAAGACCCTGTAAGTTACACCCGGCCATGTTGCCTGCCTTGAAGGAGGGTGAGTTCTCGATGTGATACCGATAGCTGTCGAAAGTGACCTGCTTCGGTTAAGGCTTAGGACGGATTTGGGGTTTATATTTTTTGGAATTCGCGGGCTCAGGATGTTGGTACCAAGGTCTACAGTACTGCAGGGATGGTTTTACACGGGCTTCACTGAAAGAATCATGGGTCCTACGAGGGCTTTTGTATGTAATGCTTTTTACAAGGACTTCAGAAAGCCTTTGCGGAATCGTAGCGCCGAATACAGTTTCGTGCTGCTCCTCGTCTTTCAAGCTCGTGTTTCCCAGGTTCAAGCTGGGAAGTACGCCCTCTGTGTTGGTCCCTTAACAGCTAGACTAGGGTTTCGGGGGGTGCTACTGGAGGTACAAAAGAAAGACTAAGGAACAGTATTGGTATTCATTCAGACCCTTGCATTAGGCCTTCTTCGATCCTGAGAAACGACCCGTTAACAGAATGCACTTTCGACAGTTCTGTTCCAACGGCTTCGGGTTGGCTAGGGGCTTCAACTACTACTACTACTACTACTACTACTACTACTACTACTGCTACTGCTACTGCTACTGCTAGTGCTACTTCTACTGCTACT